ATTAAAATCAGGCATCTAGTTTTTCTTCTCATTAACTGCTGTTGTAGAGCTGGCTCAGGAGCATGCACATATTTGGCTCAGCTTTTTCTTTTTCTGTCCTGTGTTTAGGTGAGACTTTATTTATTTGCCGTTTGCCATGTGCTGCTTTAGCTTTGCCAGCTACTTTTTAGACAATACAGAATTTTTATTGCGTCATCTCTACAGGATGCATAATCATGACCTGCACTGAGGACATGCAGAAGGCATCTCCTGCCTCTGCCAGTACAGTTTCCAATTTAAAAAGTCCCCTGTAACATTTTGGACTGTTAAATGTTCACTAGCAATGAGCATTTTCCTTCTTCAAGGTTTTGTCTTGTCTCAGTCTCCATGGTCTCTAAAAAGCTTTGTTTATTTTATGCATGTGAATTTCCCTACATATAGGTGGAGAGCACTGCAAGATAGGCAGCTGATGATGACCTCCTGCTTTGCCATTCATTATGGGTATTCCATAGGTACCACAGCTGAGGCAAGTGATGTCCTACAGAGAACTGGAGTAACTTAGATCATATTGTACCGAACCAGTAAGGAGTTTATTCTGTGAATCCTCTCCTATGTTGGTGTGACCATCTCTAAATTTTGAGCCAAGACTGACCTTTGAGCCTATTCCTGAGACAACTTCCCAATAGGAAACCTCACGTCAGTCTGTGCTTGAGTCACAGCCACTGTTGAATCCATCCCAAAAACTCGAGGGCACCACAATTCCTACAAATCCTCACTCTTCCCCAGCAAAGTTCTTCCAGTGCAAATGCTGTTTCCAACTCTTTTCCACTGGATATATCCCAGCATTCACTTACACAGGATTTTGGCAGATCGTGATTCCTGTCTCTGTGTCACTGTGGTTGACAGCTGACATTTATGCATTTATAGAAGGGCGTTTGAATCCCCACACAGTCCTAGGCAGGGGGAGGAACAGACCTGTATATGTGTATAGCTGTGATGTTATGCTGGTCTGTGAAGCCATTTATCAGATCATTTGATGGGGCATACTGCTATCTTTTGCCTTTTATTGTGCTGCCGCTGTTTCCAGACATAATATTTGGCCTTGGTTTCTTCCTTTGAATGTATCCTCCATGGCCTCTTCGAAGTCTTCTTGGGCACAGATTTGAAACAGTGGGAAAGGGGAACTAAAAGGTACATCAAAAGGTGTGATGGGAGGAGTAGAGTGGTGGACTGTGTCCCAGCCTCAGTGTTCTCATTGGGTACTAGAACAGGGAGCTTGTCAGAAAGATGTTTTTAGCAAGGTTTACAGCAGCCCAAAGGGAGAGGAGAGGCCACAAGCTGCATTCAAAACCAGACCAAGTAGCTGAAAACTGAGTGTACTTTTCAGCATAACAAGTAGGTTATCCTTTTCTTCTTTGGACAGGGTGGTCAGGCACTAGCACAGGTTGCCCAGAGAAGCTGTGGTATGCAGTGTTCAAGGCCAGGTTGGACAGGGATTTGAGCAACCTGGCCTTGTGGAAGGTATCCCTTCCCATGGCAGAAGGGGGTGGAACTGGATGATCCTTTAGGTCCTTTCTGAGACAAACAATTCTGTGATTCAGATTCAGCGATCCAAATATTCAACAGGAAGAAAACTTGATTAAGTTTTGTGGAGAAAATCCCAGGAGCAATTCAGAACTGAAAGATACGGTTCAGCCTACTGTGACAGTTTCCTTCCAAGTCATTTTGGAAATACTTGTTATCTTACCACTCACAACTGTAATGAAAACTAGAAAATAGCACAGTTTGTGGGACCCAACAACATCTGCTCTGTGACAGCCCAGTAAAATTCCTGATGATGCCCAATGTAACCAGCTATTGACCCATCATCCTTTGTTGACAGTGAATGGCAACTGTCAGAAGAAATATTTGTGGACATAGAAATTTGGGGTTTTTTTAGTTGTTATGTACCATCACCAAGCTCATTTTGTTAAGCAAATTTGGCACTAACAACCACCAATAGCTAATAAATTCAATGTTAGGCTTACAGGGTTCTGACAGATTGCTGGCAGCTGCCTTAAATGCACGGAAGAGCTCTCCTAGTGTAGGTTGGAAGTGCTTATTTATACCACACTGTGGGTCTGTTTCCCCCAAATTTTGCTGTCTCCTTTTAGCAGATGTCATTGGTTCAAAGGGTATAACAACTGATCAGAAATGTAGTATCCAGCTACACTAGAGATCAGCATATATGGATTAAAGATAGCTCAAGTATCACATTTTTACAGCAAGAAACCTTTTCATTTATGAATGCAAGATTTGTGGCAAGGATGGAGTAAGGCCTCACCATAGACAGTTTTATTTTACTTTGAGTTTTGGTGATTAGCTTTTCTATGCTAAGGAGGTTTTAAATATTATTCAGGCGTTTAATATAAACTTGCTGTTTATTTGTGTTTATTGGTGTAGAAGAGACTGGCTGTACAGCTAGACTAAGTTTGTTCTTAGGCTTCATTTTAGCATGTCTTATAAATGGAAGATGATGTGCTGAGAAGTAGGCATAGGCTGCAACAGCTTAGAAGTTGATCAGACAGATGTTGTTTCTAGATCAGGGAAAACCAGCTCAGAAGAAAACCTTGGAGAGTCTGAGTGCTCACTTGCAGTAGCAGAGCATGTATTCACAGAGACATTTTAGGTAATCGAAACCATGAACAACAACTTTTCAGTAGTAAGTAACGCCAAGAATATATACAGAAACTGAATAAGCTGAAGTATCATTGTGAAGATGAATGCAGTCCAAAAATTCCCAGTTACACAATGGACTGTGGAAACCACAAATATGTTTGTATAACTGAACTCAAATTTTGGTACTCACTGCATTTTATCATCTCTCATTTACTTAGAAGAAGAATCATGAATCTGTCCCAATGTTGTCACTGTGTGTAACTGAGTAGTTGACAAACCTCTGACTATTAAAGTCAATGCTAGTGAGGGGATCAAGAAATTAAAAGAGTGGGCAGTTTCTTCTAACTGGAAAAGAGCAGATTAATTAAAAAAGTTACGGAATTCTACAGTGAATACAAGTCAGGCATCACTGACTCGCAATTTTCTCTTCAGATGTGGTGAAAGGATCTCTGGACAGTACAAGACTGATGGTGAAAAATTCAGATTAACTATGCTGCAGTGTCCAACTTGATCTACAGTTGTGGAATTTATCCTGGTTTTATGAGTCAGATGGTCAGCACTTTCCATCCCTGAAAGAGCATTCTCCTCTCTTTCTGTCAAAATGCCTTACAACTCCATGGAAAGACTTCAGAAATAGATATAATATTCTTTATGCCAGCACACAAAAAAAGTATTCATTCCTTAAAATGGAAAAATAGAAGAGTCTAGAAATACATACTGATGCCATGCAACAACTCTAAAAAAGTTGCTGACAGCATTTCACACAACTAAAAAATATACTTAAAGTGAAGCACTAGATGCTGTTTTGGAAAGTGTGTGGGTGATGACACCAAGCATTATGCACCATAATGAACTTTCACAAAAAATGGATAAAGCACAAAAACATCCCATTGTCTTTCTAACAGACACATGGTACTTGTTTTGGGTCTGTCTACTAAAAGCGTCACGCAGTGCCCGCTAGGCCTAGTACCGGGAAAGGCAGAGGTCTACCATAACCCAGGTTTCCTTTTCAGTTCCTTTTACATCTTTATCAATGGACATCATATCTCCTCTCCCATGTCACTCTTTTGGGCTGAAGAGTCTTAGTCTCGCCCTTGTACAGAACCTTCCAGGACTCTGATTATTCTTGCGTCCATTCTGTGAGCTGGACTAAAAAGAACAAAATACCACACTATATAAAGGCAAAGTTTTCAGATGTATACAGTCCTCATGAGACAGAATACTCTCTGCTCTGTCCTCAAGTCCTTTGCTAATGCTTTCTAACAGGTAGTTTGTTTTCTGACTGCTGCCGAGTATTGAGCTAGTAGTTTCACAAGAATGGTTATGCCCCAAGGTCACATTTGTGTGTGTAAGATTTAACTCAGAGCCCATTAGTGGCAGTAATCCCAGGATTGTTCTTCACTTATGTGCATAATTTATTTAGGTTTATTTACAATGAATTTCACAGAGACTGTCTCTGTTACTATTTCTTGCTCTGAAATACCCTACTGCTTTATTAATGGTAATTGCCCTTCTCTTTCAATTTGTCCAGCAGATCGGCAATTCAGACAAAGTACAACTGTTGCTTACACCACTTGCTGCCTCTCTGTCAGACCTGATGAAGGTACCGTATGCCCAAAAGGTTTTGTGGTTTTCTCAAATGATTTAACAAAATACATCACTTCTTTGTACAAACATGAATTTCCATCTGTCCTCTGGATTCTCCAGAAGCCCATTGTTAGTGTGAAGGACACTGAGAGGCTTGTGCACCTCTCCAGCTGCGGGCAGAGTGTTCTGTCTTGGGCAGGAACAAGATGAGCTCAGCTGCCTGGTTCATTAATTGAATTCTACCCATTTTTTTTCCTGATAAATACTAATTTGAAATAAGGTTAAACTGCGATTGGGAATTTACAACTCCAATACCAGGGTAAAGATGATGTTAGCAGCTGTCTCTATGCCTTTGTATTTATATATATTTTTAAGGGTAAATCAAACAAACAAGCATCTAGGTGATGCCTTCTCACAAAAAGACTTTTGGTACTGTGACTGCAATTTTCTGACCATAAACGTCTTGATGGCCTGGGGAAACCATGTAGCATGTCCTTCCTCACTAGACGGAGAAGGGGAATGTCTGTATTATAATATAGATCTTTATTTTCTTAAAAATTACAGCTGAATGAAATTACATCAGAGAAATGACAGATCTGCATTTACTGAGTAAACAGCAGTGTTAAACCCTTAGCATTTGTTTCACCTGGCTGTATGTAATCTGGATGACAGGTATGTCCTTGTGTGCTTAGGAAGCAGTTTTCCCTGGCACTCAAGCAAAAGTAACAATACTGATACTATTTGTGAAATGGGAAGTCTCGACTGTTTTGTCTTACCTTTTTCAGAAGCCGGGGCAAGGTCGATAAAACTTCGACATTTTTCACCTTCAAAAGAAAAGGATTATTTTAGGACATAGAAGTGGATCGGTTTTGCTCTGCCTCCTCTTTCTGATTGGTGTTTCTGCCACCTGAGTCTCTATAGTACTACGCAGAGAGCAGACATCTACCTGTGCCTCCATCCTGGACCAAAGCCACAATGCTCACAAGGCTGGACTCTCCCTAAGGATTACAGTTCCTTCACCGGGAGTATGAAATACAGTTAGTGAAGAAAAAAGTGCTCTCTGATAGTTGAACCCTAATGGGTAAGCAATGCTCCTTCCCAAGGCTGGGAGCAGTGTTCACTCCAAATGGAGTGACACAGTGCAAAGCACTGCAGGGGTTTGCACTGGGAGGGCACTGGCCTCTTTCATGAACACTTTTGCCTTCCTCCTCATTGTCAGGACTATGCCTGTGCCCCACCAGAGTGTGACCCAACCTCCCAGTGCCAGGAAGCATTGCCATGGGCACAGACATCTCCATAGATAGATAGGACACATGTGACTAGCACAGACTAACCTGGACCACAAAGCACAAAGCAAGATATGCAATTGCATAGCATTAAAAAAAAACTGTTAAAAAGGCAAGCAAATGCCTTGCTATGACCGTCACAGCCCTGAGCCACTCCCTCTGCTTTGTGGCTGCTGCATCCATTTATCCCTGGAAATTAACTTTTCACTGTTTAGGTCTCCACCTCCACTTTTGCAGGCATTCTTGAAAAACCTATTGCTTCTGAGCAGGAAATGTGTCTTAAGGGTGGATGTTTTCACCTTTCTTTTTTACTTCTTCAGGCAATCAGAGATTATAAAATAAGTCCTTTGCTTTAGATGCATTTGTTCATCAAGTGTATGTATTTTCTTCAACATGATATGTTCCAAAGTGACCAATATCCTGCCTGCCCTGAGGAATCAGAGCCCAGCATGCCTGACAGAGGTAATGGAGAAGAATCCATTTTGCCCTTCAAGACTTTAATTGATGCAAAGATATAGCAGTAGGATTTTTAGTAGTTTTGCTCAATTTTAATTGCACAGTCAAAAGGCTGATTTAGGAAATGTGAGCCATTAAAAAAGAATAAACAGTGAAATGCTGTAGTGATGTTGAAATCAGTGTGTAATTTCTTCTTGGTTCTAATTAATTATATGTACAAACCAATATAAAATGTTAATCTTTCTGGTGTCTTTGTTGCCAGGATTGAGATAAACATAACCGTTCAAATGATAGCTGTGTTGAAATAACAATCTATTATTATAATGCTATTACTACCACTTTTTATTTACTTTTTGCAGTTTTAAACCTATGCTAAATATGCTGAAAAGTGTTGAGTACATAGTCTGTAGCCTGTTTGTGTATGTACGAGTTCCTATAAGAGAAAAGGTTCACTTCACATTGAAACGAACATTTCAGTATCTCCATGGCAGGGGGTAGGATTCCTACTCTGCATCCAGGCACTGCCAAGAGGACAGTCAAGAAAAGGAAGTGACACTTGACTTATCAAAGCACCATCTCTGTTTCCAAAACAGTAGGTAGGGCGGTCTATAACTGAGCAGAAGGAATGTCAGATGAATGAGTTATGAAGTTTTGGGGCAAACAGACTGAAAGATACCTAATGGATGACAGAAATCACAGCATCACAGAAGCATTGTGTTCACAGGACCCTGCAGGTCTCCTGTTCAGCCTCCTGTTCAGAGCAGGATTATTGCTAACACCTGATCAGATCAGCTGTGACTTTTCCCAGCCAAACCTTGAAATACTTCAAGGATGGTGATACCCATTATTTGGTGACGCCAAGGATGGGGTTTCTCTCCTGCTCTGGTCCCAGGGCTTCACCACCCTTCCTTATACCCAACTTCTCTAGCTGTTCTGTCATCTATGTAGTCATCCTTTCTTTATTTGTAGGGACAAGAACAGGCCCAGCTCCCTAACTGTCTTTGCATATGGGGTGTACTTTAGGACTCTGACCAAGAAATAAAGAGAAATAGGTGGACTATAAAATATTTTGTGCTGTAAGAATGAATCATTCTCATCCAGAGACTCCATGTTTTAGGGCGTGAGGTGTGTTAGGAATGCATTGACTTAAAATCAAGGGAATACAGGGAGAGTAACCTTTAAATTTGGACTTGATATAAGCAGATTAAGCACAATTTTTCATTCTAGCCATATGGATCTATGTTTTGGGTTTGGTTTTATGGTTTGGTTTGTTTTCTTTTCCAGAGGGAAGTTACTACTTTTATCACAATTTTAACCTGACTTTAAACTGGTAGCATTGAGTCATCTCTCACCTGTGGTTCCAGTGAATCTGAAGCCATATTATTCAAAACCTTTAATAAATATCATGTTATCCCAAGACAGCCAAAGGGGAATGGCATTTGCTACTACAGAAACTGCACAGCTGTTCCGAGAGCTGGAGATAAATGGTACCTTTCAGATACATGGCAAGGTACAAAGCCTCTCTAACACCCATAGGTACTGAGGAAACTGATGGTACCACAGTATTTGGCTGCAGGTGCCTTGTCTGCAGGACAGGTGTAGAGAGTGTAATCATGTGCTATTTGGAGGAATGTGCATCCTCATCCTCCCTTAAATTCCTTGACCAGAACATTTCCCCCAGGAGAGCTGGCTGTGGCTGAGGCCTCCAATTTAAATAATGTGGCCAGAAAATTCTGGAGTGTCCAGAAAATGCCCTTTTGGTGCCATAGCACAAAGAATGACTGTAGATGGGAGACACAAAAGTGCGGAAGGAGGTCACACCCTTTTCAGCAGCTGATGTCTGGATTGTGCCTGGGTTACTGCTAAAGGTTTTGGTATGAACTGCACAAGCAGTTCCTGATGAAGAACACTTCCCATCATTGTTCCTGTTGCTGGAGCATTGGAAACCTCTCCTTCATTTCAGTGGTAACCACTGGTGGTATTTATAGACCACATTCATACTTCAACATGCAGACATGCATCTCACTGAGAACTGAAGATGTCAGCAGTGCTTTCACTGTTCCTCTTAGGATTTATTCTAAGTTATTTTTGGGTATCTTGTATAACTGATCTCTTAAGCCCTCTTAAGTTTAATTTTAGACTTGGCAAGAGTTTATCCTGCTGTGCTGCCCTTTTCCAGATGCATTTTCTCCTCATAACCATGCTCCTGGAGAGTCTTTAGAGAATACAGAAAAGGCTGTTTAGAGATGCAACAAGAACAGCGTTTAGGTTTCATCCACCTGATAGTCCTGCCACCCTTTTTTGGCAGCAATTCTGACAGAGGAGAAAGCCAAAGAGTGATTTCTCTTGCACATAACTGACTTAGAAAGGACCGACCTGGCTTGAATGCTCTCCACTTCCATGAAGGAACAATGGCCATGTACAGTGTATATGAAGCATTCTGGAGCTCAGCAGTGTTAGAGAGCTGCTGGAGGCTGAGTAGAAAGGACTGACCAACCACCTTAACACCAATAAGAGCGTCTTCTAGGGCTTCCCAAGGGTGAGGTAGAAACATCATCTATGCAAGCCCTTGCAAATGCATTCTGTTTAACCAGGCTGGCTCTACATGGGCTCAGTTGAGTCTTCTGGGCTACCAGAGAAGGGGGCATGGGTCATAGGGACTTCTAGGACTGGGTACCAGCAAGAGCCCAAAATTTGCTTGTGTTTTTCTCTAATTTTAATTGATTAATCTAATCCTGGATATGTGTATGGGTAAGTTTATTTGTAATTTGCTAGGGAACTTCAAACTGAACCAGCCAGAGAGTGGGAGGAGAGATCTGAAAAGCCCCAAGGTCTGAGCTGGGTAAGAGTCTTGAGGTCTCGGTATGGACGATAGACTTAGAGCCCATGGTAACATCTGAGGGATCATTAGTGTGATGTGCTTGTGTATCTACAGACAGAAGGGGTGTGCACGTATCAGTAGTGATTTGCAAACCTGCTCAGCCAGAAAGAAGGAAGAGGAATGAACTTGCTGAAAGTGATGTTGTGTTTCTGTGGGTGCTGTTTGGCACAGCTCTCTCTAGGTTGGTCTGTGTGGTCACATTAGTGTCATGCATGTGTATGCGTGCGCGAGTGCGTGTGCTCATGCACGTGCGTGCATCTGCATTTAAATATGTGCCTAGCCTGAACTGGGAAGGATAACAAGAGCAAACCATCAGGGGAGGAGAAATTCCTGGGTCTTAAAGTTCCCTGGGCTCAGTTTCCCAAGAGCATGCACAGCAATTCCTCAGCCAGGCTCATTGAGAACCTTCTCATTTCATGGCTCTGCAGCACTGGAGGTCAAAAGCTTTCAACCTCCTTAGTAGATTCTACTGAAGAAAGCTTGGCTTTGAGTTCTGTATATTCTTAGGAAACTGAAGATGTGGATTTTATCACATGTCAGTGCCAGGGAAACAGAGAGAAAGTTGTGGCAGCATAATGAGATGATCTCTCTGTCTTGCTTCTAGCATGAGGCCCATACTCTTTCTTGTCTCTCTGCTGCTCACAGCATGGTGGGAAGTCCTGAGCTTCCAGCCCTTCCAAGTCTTTGGCACATATTTCTCATGGAAATTGTCTCATGTCTGCAAAACCAAATCACTTCAAGAAAAAGTAGGGTGCTGTGTGAAAAGCAGGCACTAATCTGACTGAGCTGTGCTCTGGAGAAAGTAAGTGAGCTGGTATGAGTAAGGCTGCTTCAGGGATGGGAAAGAGGCACTGCAGAACACTGCTAATGAGCAGTCACACATGGTGGAGTGGTTACACATGTGTCCTGTCACCTCAGATAGGTAGACCCAGACACCTCCCTTTCCCTAGCATGTGGAGATAGTGGGGTTTGCTTTCTTACCTTCTCCACTGAAGTCCTACTTCATAGTGTCAGACACACTTTGTACAGCTGTGACTCTGTGCTGGAAGCAAATGCTTGTTCCTTTTACTTTTCTCAGGCAGAGTTCAGAGGCATCTGTACCTCCCTAGCCTGAACAATAATTTGAAAGCAAAGGCTTAGAAAGAGAAGTGGCTTTTCCAAATCCTCCAAATTCAAAACTGCCAGAAAGTTAAGACAAATG